ACATAACAAGCAAAGTTACCATTTGAGTGTAATCAATTTAAAAGATATTTTTTTACAAACAAAAAGGGACAAATAAATTCACTGCCACATGCAACAACTGAAAATAAATAAATATAGAAATACAAAAGTAGAGATAAAGACAAGAGCATATCACATTGTTGTTCAAAGCATGGGTATTACAATAATCATATAAACCTTAAATTTACACACAGTTTACAAACACAAAGTAAATCTCTTTATAAAAAAATCTATATAAAAGGCAACAATACGACAACTTTACAGTAATATCGACAGTTGCAAAAGATTCCCCTTTTAAAAAGTCCGAAAATCCTAAAGCTAGTAGAAGAATTTTTAAAAAAATCTTAGGTTCAACCCACCCACTGCTAACACAAACTGGTAGTGCAAACGGAAGAAAATTACTAACTTAAAATGGCATAAATCCGCCTCTCATTCAAGACGAAAGCCGCGAAATGAGAGTTAATTGAGGCTAAATTAGTTTTAACCCTTTTTACCTGTTGGGTTGGGTCGGGTCGGGTCGGATAATAAATATAAAGGGTTAAAAATAGTGGGTCAAGTTTAATAATTGCCATATGGCTAAAGTCAAACGCGTGAATTATACAAATAAACTTTTTATGGAACCTAGTCAAAGAAGGTGTGTACTTGATACACTTTAGAAAGGTTGCGTGTGTAATATTATTATCGTCCACAAAAAGTATGTAAGGAGAATCTGGACCATAGGTTAGGTTAATGTGTGTGTGTGTGTGTTTGGTTGCACAAAAGTCTAAGGAAAAAATGAAAACTATATTAACCATTACAAACAAAAAAATGAAACTAATTATGTGAGGTCAATATTAATTCAAATGAAATAAAAAGTGACATCACTACTGTAAGAGCTGCGTAATGAACTCCGTGCATCTTTTCGATTGTTGTAGCCACTAAGTTGTATATGTAGCTCTTTAAACTTTTTAGAGAAGTCAAATCAAAAGGGAAATATAAATTGCACTTAACTACTTAAAATGAGATGTTGAGATTAACCTAAGGACATTAACTTCTGTACGAGTATATGTATATTACAAGATATTAGAAGAATAAAGAAAATACTTTTTTCTTGAATTTAGCACTCCATTATATCTTCAAGAATGAAATGAGACAGAGAATTTAAAACATGAAATGAAACAAACAAATGTATATATACAAAAAAATTGGAATTAGCTACATAATGCATTGCTTATCTGTAGCTAAATCGCTTGTAGAAAATAGAATTTCTCGATAATTTATCGTTAATCCGTTGCTAAATAGGATTAGTGACAGATTTTTTGTTTAGCTACAGCTGTTCCATCGGCAATTCCTGGTATTTTAGTAGTGATAATTCTTAGTTATTGATGTATTATCTAATTAATTATGCTTTCTTTGCAATGTGAATTATTCTTTTTGCGTCTCCCTTTCATGGATTTGCTGCAGTTTTTTCATTTTCATTTCCTTTTAGATTCGTGGGTTTCTCTAAAAAAGTTGTGTTAGATTTGACCCATTTTTGTGTTTAGTGTTATACAATAAGGATGAAAATGAGAGAATAACAAGTAGTATGCTAGTTGGACAACGAGGTCGTTAGCCAGCTGTCAACAGTTGGTTATGGTAGTAAGTTAGTTGGCACTAACCGATTGGAGTTAATTTAGTAGAGGTTAGATAATTGTGTATATATAGATGTAATGTACATTTTATTTGTTATCAATCAATAGACTAGAAAGTTCTTCTCCAATTATTTTCTCTCTAAAACGCATCTTCTCTCAGCCTAGCTTCTACTATCTCATCTTCATTAATGGAGGTTGAGTTGTAGTTCAATTCAGCTCTATTCACATGGTATCAGAGCAATCGATACTGGTTGCATCTTAATTTAATATTCGTGCATTGTGAGTTCCAAAAATCTCGCTCAAATTCAGTAATGGGGGACGAGAAGATCGATCACACACACCCGTTATTTCTACATCCGTCTGATACTTCGGGCTCAGTCTTGATTCTGATTCAGCTCACAAACTCTGAAAACTATGGGTTATGACGTAGGACTATGCGAATTACTCTTCGAGCTAAACAAAAATTAGGGTTCGTAACTGGTACATGTAAGAAGAATACCTTTAAGAATGAATTACATGAGGAATGGGAGACATGCAATGCGATCGTTCTCTCTTTGATCATGAACACTGTATCGACAAACCTCGTTAGTGGAATTGCTTATGCATCAGATGCGCGCCTAGTTTGGTAAGACCTGAAGGAGAGATCTGATAAGGTTAATCGAGTTCAAATTTTTCCACTACACAATGAAATTGCAATAATTACACAAGGAACTGATTCTGTTGACCCCTATTTCATAGGGTTGAAGGAATTGAGGTCGGAGTATGATGTTTTAGTTCCCACACCAAGTTGTGATTGTATTAAATCAAAGGACTACATTGAATATTTTTATCGCCAAAGATTGCTTCAATTTCTCAGTGGCCTAAATGAGACCTATGAACAAGTGAGAAGGCAAATATTGATGAAGAATGTCGAGCTAACTTTGAACCAAGCTTATTCCTTGATAATTGAGGATGAAAGCCAAAGATCAAGTCCATATCCGGCCTTAGGCACCAGTAGAGATCCTATTGCTATGGAAGTTGCATGAGGACAAGGTTACAAAGGAAAGAAGACCTTCATGAGATATGACATTGGAAAATGAGTGGACATTTGAAGGAAAACTACTACAAATTGGTAGGTTATCCTGCACATTTTAATGCTAAGAGAAGGGTTGTGGCTAACTGTGCAACTGGAACCTTTGAGCATGAAGAATTACCACGCATAGCTGGAGGAAAATCGAACAATGATGGTCCTGTAGGAGGGAACTTCTATATTGAAGATCAATACAGGTAGATTTTGGATATGTTGAACAAAGACACATCAGTACCACAAATGAACATGGCAGGCATTGCTACTGTACTAATGACTAGTTGTCACAGTAAAGAATGGATAGTTGACTCTGGTGCGACTCATCATATAGCTGATTTCTTAGATGTATTGCACTTTAAGACTGAGTTGAAAATTGGTAGAGACCAAGTTCACTTACCTACTGGTGAGAAGACAAACATCTCTCATATTAGTAGTGCAACATTCCTTAAGTAAATAGAAGTTAAAAATGTGATATATGTACCTGACTTTAAATTTATTTGTTGCCTGAGTCAAAGTTCACAAAGGAACTTAGTTGCTATGTTCATTTCTATCCTAATATCTGTATATTTCAGGACCTTTGGAGTGGCAGGGTAAAGGGACTGGTAAGGAGAAAGGAGACTTGCATGTGGTGAAGGATGAGCACAAAACTAGAGTTCCGAGGGAAGCATCAGTTGCAGCAGTTCAAAAACCATAAGTTGATGGAAATCTTTGGCATAAGAGACTGGGTCACACTTCTGTTAGTACAATGAAAATTATAGAGTTTTTACAGCATAAGAAACTAGATTTGGATGTGAATAAGGATTGTTCTGTTTGTCCCTTGGCTAGCAGAGTAGACTAGTTTTTCCTATAAGTGTCTCAAGAAGTACTAGTCCTTTACTGCTTTTGCACATGGATATTTGGAGAGCATATAATTTCCCCACACATGATAGGAAGCATTATTTTCTAACAGCTATGGATGATTATTCTAGATATACTTGGGTTCATGTACTGCAATTGAAGAGCGGTGTAATTATGGTATTGCAAAGGTTTCTTTCCATGTTAAAAACACAGTTTAGTGTAGCAATTAAAAATGTTAGAATTGATAATGGAGGAGAGCTTTTCAGTAAACAGTGCAATGAGTTATTTGAATTCTATGGTATTATACATCAAAGTAGTTGTGCATACACTCCTCAATAAAATGGGGTAGTCGAAAGAAAGCATAGACATATACTAGATACAACAAGAACCTTAAATTTCCAGGCTTGTGTGCCCACTAAGTATTGGGACGAATGTATCACTAATGTTGTGTACATTATGAATAGGCTCCCTCCTGTAACTCTACGTGGTAAAACACCTTATGAGCTTCTATATCTTGAAAGGCCTTCACTTGAGCACCTGCAAATCTTTGGATGCCTATGCTATGCAACTACCACAATTCATGATAACAAGTTTTCAGCCAGAGCCAAACCTGCAGTACACCTTGGATACCCAGACACACAGAAGGGATACAAACTTCTGAATCATACAACTAATCAATTCTTTGTATACAAGGTTGTTTTATTCAAAGAGCATTTATTTCCTTTTGCTAAGTCTTCATCCTCACACCCTGTCATGGCTCCTGCTAAGGGAAGTTTGTCATTTTAGCATGAACCATTACAGGCAACTGCAGATCCTGTACTTAAAACTGAAGCTGATGCAGGTTATAAAGTTGATCATGTCCCACATGCTGCACCTGAACAAGCAATTGAGCCTCCACAAGCTGAACATGGTGAGACTGATGAGGTGAAGCTGAGGCAGCTGAATCTATGGATGATGAACATACAAAAGCTGCACATGAACATAAAGAAATGGAATCAATAAGGATGCAACATCAACCTTTGGAAATTAGAGGTCAAGAGCCAAGAAGGTCTGGAAGAAGCACCGAGGAACCTATATGGTTACAAGATTATGTCACAAAGAAGAAGGCACATGGTGTGACATTGTACCCCCTTTAAGACTACCTAGCTTACAATCACCTTTCAAAGAAATGTAAGAGCTTTGTGGCAAAAGTCTCAGCATTCACATAACCTCAGAGCTTTACAAAAGCCTGAAAAGACAAGAGATGGATTGAGGCAATGCAGTAGTAAGTCAAAGCATTAGAGGATAACAAGACATGGAAAATAATGGACCTGCCTAAAGGAAAAAACGCGATTGGATAAAAATAGATATACAATATAAAGTATAAAGCCAATGGGGATGTTGAAAGGTTTAAGTCCAAGTTAGTGGCTAAGAGATATAGCTAGAAAGAGGGATTGGACTACCATGAGACATTCTCACCAGTTGACAAAATGGTAACTGCAAGGTCAATAATTGCAGTAGCAGCATCTAAAGGTTGGACTGGGTATCAAATGGATGTGTATATTACATTTATGCAAGAATATCTATATGAAGAAGTATATATGGAGATGCCTCAGGGTTTTAGAAGACAAGGGGAGACCAAAGTGTGAAAGTTAGTGAAGTCCCTATATGGGCTAAAACAAGCTTCAAGACAATGAAATATCAAGCTCATTGAAGTACTTATTGAGGCAGGATATGCTCAAAGTCTATATGATTATTCACTATTTACCAAGAAAAAAGGAACATCTTTGTGGTTGTTCTTGTATATGTGGATGATTTTCTCATAACAGGAAGTAATGAGCAATTCATTCAGGAGACTAAGGATGTTCTAAATAAAAAATTCGAAGTAAAACACCTAGGAGAATTAAGGTATTTCTTCGGAATTGAAGTGATGAGGTCTAGCAAGGGGATCTTGTTATACCAAAGGAAGTATGCATTGCAGTTAATCTCTGATTTAGGACCGGGTTCTACTAAACCAGTGGCCACTCCAATAGACATGAATCAGAAGTTTACCTCATCAGAATTTAATGAATATGTTGGGGTGTCCAGAGATGATTTGATGAAAGATGCTGGAGCTTATCAAATGTTTATTGGGAGGTTGATATATCTAACTATCACAAGTTCATATATAACATTTGTTGTGCATACATTGAGTCAATTTATGCAGTCACCTAAGCAATCTCATTGGGTAGCAACAGTAAAAATTGTGAGGTACATTAAGCAGAGTCCAGGGATGGGAATTCTACTGAGCAGTGAGAGTGCAAATACCTTAACCTGCTTTTGTGATGTAGATTGGGTTGCATGTCCTAATATAAGGAGTTTAGTAACTAGTTTCTTTTGTGAAGTTTGGTAAGTCATTGGTATCATGGAAATCAAAGAAGCAACAAATATTGTCTAGAAGCTCAGCAGAAGCGTAATATAGAAGTCTTGCAACAGCTACTGCAGAAACAGTATAGCCGCTTGGGTTGTCCACAGAACTTGGCATTACAGTTGAACAACCTGTGAATATGTTTTGTGATAGCAAGGCAGCCCTATAGATTGCAGTCAATCCCATATTTTATGAAAGGACTAAGCATATAGAGATTTATTGCCACTTTGTAAGAGATAAGATTAAAGATGGAAAGATCAAGACCTATCACATAAGGACAAAGGAACAACAAGCAGGGTTGTTGACTAAAGGGCTTGGGAGAATTCAACATGCATACTTGTTAAGTAAACTTGGAGTGCTTAATATCTTGCACCCTCCAGCTTGAGGGGGAGTGTGGGAATAACAAATAGTATGCCAGTTGGACAGTGAGGTTGTTAGCTAGTTGTCAACAATTGATTATGGTAGTTATAGTTAGTTGGCACTAACCGATTGGAGTTAAGTTAGTAGAGGTTAGATAATTTTGTATATATAGATGTAATGTACATTTTATTTGTTATCCATCAATATGCTAGAAAGTTCTGCTCTATTTATTCTCTCTCTAAAATTCATTTTCTCTTAGCCTAGCTTCTGCTATCTCACGTCCATTAATGGAGATTGAGTTGTAGTTCAATTCAACTCTGCTCACAGAAAGTAGACCACGTACAAAATCTAAGGTATTATTATGATCAACAACTTTAATATGTTTTAAAGAGAAAAACAATTTGATCCTGAAACTATTGGTTGGTTTGTTATAAATATTTGTTGACTTGAAGCCTAAATTACCTAAGATGATTGCGGTTAACGAACAAACAAATCCGTCAACTAAGAAAACAAAGTGACTGGTAATTTTAGGATTATTTATGACCAATACTAAGTAATAAACAGTTGGCCTATTCTGTTTCCCCCCTATTGAAGTCCTCTAATTGACAGTGTATAAGAAGGAACTTCCATTACCATTTGAGAGCGATTTATATATTCTCTGTAGCTATGGGAAAGTCTTGGAATAATCACTTTTGATGTCTTTGGAATAATCAATCTTGTAATATGAGTGATAATGTAGCCAAAATAATATACCATACGAAATAAGATAAGTATGCAAGGCATCCTATTCGCTGTTTTGTACTCGATAATAATATTAAGCGTCGTATATTTGTTCGATTTTTGTAGAGGTGTTCCTGGTAACACTCTGTAAATTCGGATTAGGTGTGAACGTATTAAATGAATATTAATATGATATTTTAGATATGTAAAGTCCAATCGGGATGAGTATTGGTGGAAATAGTTGTTTTGTAATCAAGACAGAGAGTGAGGTGCATAAGATTCGATAAAAATCGACTAAGTTTATGAATATCTGTCTTCCATCCTTATTTAGTAAAAATCTTTTAGGAATTTGAGTGAACTTAAAATATTAAAGTCGCCGCCCTTTGAAACACCTTTCCAATGATATATTGTGGAGCTCGAACGGATCTCTGTACAAAAAGTTATATACATTTTACTAAACAATATGCAGAATGCGCGCCCAGTTGGTCCCGTGTGCGGCCGCGCACTTGTGGCAGTGCTATTGCCCTTGCTGCGCATTCAAGTGCGCGTTTGGGCATTCAGCTGCGTGGGAGCGCACCCGGGGGGTCGTTTTAAAAGCCCTACTTCATCCCCCATACCTCAAAACACAAAAACTTGCTCTAGAAAGAGAAGCTCTCAAGAACCTAACTTCCTCCAAGGTCCCTCCACTATCCATGGTAAGTTCTAATGGTGATTTTAAGTTAATATCAATTCTCCAATACCTTATTAACATGGGTAAACCCTTCAAATCATTAGATATTCGATTGGGACATCAATATTGAGAAAAGAAACTCTAGAACTTGAATTCAAGATGATTGAACGTCAAAAAGGTAATATCTTCACCCTCTAATTGATTACAGTATTGGATTAATGATTATAGACTCTAGTTCATGAGATATGAGTTGATGGGTTTGATAGAAAAGCATGAATGATTATAGGTTTGGGTAGTTGATTGTTGATTATTGAATAGGGTGTTGTTTATCTTATGGATGATGAATAATGATATTGATTATAATAATTTGAGATTTTAAAATTTATCTAGGAGCAAGAGAATGTGTTGTTGGGTTTATAAATACCATTAATGAGGGATATGAGGCTTTACGGCCATAAGGTGTTTGGAAAAATTCCTAAGCTACCAAAATATAGCCTTAGTGCTATATTGGTTCCTCTTGATATATATTGCCATATATTACCGTTGAAAGAGGCTACGGATATTGTGATACGCTTAAAAAGGCCAGCGTCAAGGTATGTGAGGCTAGCTCTCTATATTTGGAAATGTTTATGATTCTCCCTACGTCTCATTCTTTTTGACTATTACGAATTTTCTCAGAAAGTAATTATGCCCCAGTTCCATGAATAGTTGTAGAACTTCTATTCTCTAGATGGAATAGTTTCATAATTCGTTAAATGTCCTATGAGTCTCAATTATGACAAATCATTTTATTATGAGTACATGTCTCAGTCTAAAAATATTCAGCATTCGAGTATCATGTAACTTAGTATGGTTCAGTATTTCAGTATCATGTATTGTAGTATGATTCTCTGTTCTTGATTCTAAATCCTTGAATGTTAAACACCTATATTTAGGCCCGAGGCCGTATTTTATGCTTTATGCATAGTTGATACTGAGGTCGTAGTTCATGATTTATGCATATTTGGGCATGAGGCGTAATTTATGCTTTATGCATCTTTGGGCATAAGGCCGTAATTATGTATACGTATACTTGGGCCTGAGGCCGTAGCTTGTGCACATATATATTGGGCTCGAGGCCGTAGTTTATTATTCAGATAAACAGGTGGTTCATCATTCAGAAAAAGGGAGTATTCATATCCTTACTTCCTTGTTCAATTATCAGTTCAGTTCTCAGTTATCAGTTATCAGTTATCAGTTGAGTTTCAGTTTCAGTATTTACAATTCTCTCTTTCCGTTGTTTTACATACCAGTGCAATCCAAATGTACTGACGTCTCTTTTGCCCGGGATCTGCGTCTCGCAATGAAGGTAACGATTTTTAGGTTGACGATTCTGCTTGCTAGGACATCTCGTATCAGCTATTGGTGGGCATTATCCCTCTTTTTCAATCTTTACGATATTTCAGTTACTAAGGTATGCGGGAGACCTTGTCTTGGCAGTTAGCATTTCAGTATTCTTTAGAGGCTTCGTAGACTGTAGCCCAGTCAATTAGATATTAACATGCTTTTATGTGTTAGCCTTGTTGGCTACTCGTTTATCCTCGAAGACTTTTCGGTACTTTCTGCATTTATGATATTTCAATTAGACTCTTTAGTAGATCAACATGTTGCATGTTTATATTCAGCTTACAGTTACACCACATGTTGATTCAGCCATACAGTTGGTTTTCTCGGTCACATGCAGTTAGGCACCGAGTGCCGTGTTACACCCAGGCCATGGTTCGGGGCTTGACATCCCTTATAGACGGATCTTTTGTATGCTTAAGAAGGTGTTTATTGGACATGATTCAAGAGTGAATCTTGATATGCTTAAGACTTTCACATGATCTATTTTGTAGATTATGTAGAAGGTGATCACACGTCAAAAAATGAACATTTTTTGTGTAAATGAATTATCTTTAATTATTACAAGATATCTTTGTTTATATACTAACATAATAACATATACAAATAGTAAATCGAGTTACTTTTTTTATGACAAATTTGTACCGGAAAAAGACCAGTCAAGTATTATCACCTCACTCAATGACCTTTTAGATTCATGCCATGTGGACTATAAAATAATGAATGGCTGAAATATATTTATATTTTATACCTATCAAAAACTAAAAATGGCAAAAATTATACTAATACAACGCGTTAGTAACCAACTCACACCTCTTACTTTTTTTTTCCTTTTAATATGTTTCTTGCTTTTTGCAAAATAAGGCACCATAACTTCAAACTACAAAATGTCAAATATTTTCTGAAAATTAATATATCTGTTACATCTTAGATTTAAATATTTCATAGCTTGAGCACAAGTAATTGCAACTATGATCGCTTGAAACTTTGGCGATATTGCAATATATTTCGTGGAATTGGATTAGTTAAAAAAAGTTGAGTACTGCTTTTTGATGGGGATGGTAGTGTTTCTTCTGAAAAGTATTTAACATTTCTTACCTGAGTACAAGTTGTAGTTTTTTATTTTGTTAAAAGTAAGAAACAACTAAAAAAGAGAAAAAAAGAAGTAAGAATGTGGGTTAGTTTTTAATAAGCGTCGTTAGTATTTTTGTCAATTTTTATTTTTATAGGTATAAAGTGTAAATGGATCTCAGCTGTTAATTATTTTATTGTCCATATGGCATAAATTTAAAATGTCATCGAATATTATTTGAGGCAATAGTACTTGACTGGATCTTTTTTCATTTGAACCATCCATCTATTTTTGTGTTGTTAGTAAGCCTAGTCTTTCCGGCAATTGCAATGACTTTTTTTATTTCTTCATGTTAAAAAAATTGTTTAGATTCACTGGGACCAGAGGCAATCCAGGATTTAAATTGTATGGTTTAGATTTATAATTTTATTATATCTCATCTAATTTAATGGGTTCAAAACTTATTAATTGTATATATTTAATAATTTTTTAGGCAAAATACAATTTATGAACCAAAGCTATGGGTTCAGACGAACTCGTCGCATATCAACACTGGATATTCCCTGGCTGGGACCTAATCTCATCTTTTTTTCTTTTTTGAAAATGTGGACTAATATCATAACACGGATATCTATTTATACTTGCTTATGTTAAGAAAATTTCACTATTGCGAATCCAGCGGTGGTATTTTTAAACTAAAACATGTAAAATACCTGGTAAAGATCACATAATATTATTTTCTCTGAATTTCTTACTCCATTTGCTGTTTACGATAACAAGAGTAACCGATATGTGTTGACCTATATAGGTCTATGTCTTTGCAAGTGCTATCAAGTTTAGTGTTTACTCGTAAAACAATCAGTTAAATTTACACGTGGTTTATAGACAAGTGAATCGATTTGATCCTAAAATGATAAATAAATTAGACAAAAATGCAAGACTTAGCGTTGAAATCGAGATAAGACAGTAAAAATCTTGAGCCTAGAAGCAGAGTTTGCGGAGGCAGTAAGAACAATGTAAATAAGCAAAAAATATTACTGAGCTTTTGATAGAATATAGTGTATACTTGTCCGAAAATTCATGTCATTACAATGATAGTAGAGCTTGCTATTTATAGCCGCACCTATGGAACAAGGTCCTAGGATCAAGCCCCTCTTAAATGACAATTATCAGGGCCATCGAAGAATGTGTAACGGTAGACAGTGAATGTCATATTCTCTGTAAAGGACCGTGCACTTAATGCCATAAAATATTCTTCATTGAATGCTACCGGGTAGCAGGCATTTATTTCTCATTTATGAATATCATTCCCTCTGGTGACAAACGAGATGGTTGCCTTCGCACCCGACTGTCTTCTGCCTTCGGCTCCACGTGTCGGTTTCTCATGCTATCATTAAATATGAACATATTTTATCCTATACAGATAGTCCCCCTGCTTTCCGGTGGCATAACTTTGTGTCACCTGGAAGTTGGTAGAGATACCTTTCTTGGCGGAAAATTCTGTGCCCCCCTCTGAAAAATTTCTGACGGTTGATTAGACGCACGTCTCTTCGCATTTAATGCCCCGAACACGCGTCATCCCACAATTCAGCACCACTTTTGTCGGTTATTGAGGTAATTATGGCCACGATTTTAGCTTCCTATTCCTTTACTTATACACATCAAACTTCTCCATTTACACTTCATAATTTTCCAAACTTATTCAAACTCTCTTTACTCCAGTCGAACTTGTCTTCAACTTTCTCTAATCTTTTCTTCAGTAAAAACCCTTTTCTCTCTTATGATAACAATGGCTTCTTCTTCCAGAAACCTTAGTTCGTCAAAGAACAAAGGCAAATATGATGATGCTCCTCCTACGGTTAGCACCATTATCCCAAGAAGTCTTGTCATAACTAAAGACTTCGAAGAGAAGTATCCTTTCGCTAACCCTCGCACGTGGGCTGTTGGCATGTATCCTTCTTCTATCCGTCCTTCCAGCATTCCCGCTATGAAGGAATACTGCCGTTTTCATGATTTGAACATCATTGCTCCTGACCAGACGGAGCGGATAACCTTGCCCAAGAAGGGTTTCACATATTTTTACACGTATCCCTTCACTTTGGGACCATTCTCTTTGAGCGAGGAGCTTGACTCTATTATCGTGGAGTTCTGCATCCATTACCATGTATGTCTGGCTCAAGTGAGTCCTTCTATGTGGAGGACAATCGTCTTCGGCGTCTATGCCGGGAGACAGGTGAGGAGTTAACCCTGGCTCGATTAATAAACCTTTATTCCCCCAAGATTTTCCGCGTGGAAACGATAAACTTCAACAAGCGTGGTCATCATGCTCTGCTAACCAGTATGGATGATAACAACGACTATGGGTGAATGGAACGGTTTGTTGCAGTTACCACCAGGGACATTATTCCGGCCACAGCTTCATCCTTTACGGAATTGTGGAACAGTACTCGTAAGTTCATCGTTTGCATTTTCTTCTAGTTAAAGATCACCCCATGTTGTTACCGATCCTTTTTACTTATTTCAGCAACTCGATGGACTCCACCAGGGGTTGAAGGCTTGGACCAGTGGGTCCAAAAGATTTTGGTTGTTACTACGCCCGAGACCCGCTCGTGGAAAGAACTAGCCCTTAAATATAGGTGGAAGGAAAAAAATCATGGTAGATTGAATTCAACTTGTTTTTTCCTTTCGTATAAGAAAGCGGATTAACCTTTTTCTCTTGTTGAATTCAGGTCTACCCCAAGGCTCAGTTGTCGTCCCCGAGGAGGACGTTTTGGCAAATGCTGCTGACGTGGCGAGGCTTTTGCAGGAGGCTTTTACCCGAGTAGGTGTTTTCGGGCCTTCTTGTAGTACAAGTGCTTCTTCTTGGAGTCCTCGGCCAAAGAACGAGCAACAAAAAAGACGACGCTCCTCTGCGGTCGGGGAAAAAACTAAAAAGCAATGAATGCAGCGCCCGAGCCATCTCCAGATATTGTGGTGATGAGCACCGCGCCCGAGTTGGTCACAGAAACTATGGTGATCGACGATGATGGGGAATATAGTGATGAGGGAGCTTCTCTACATAGAAGACGACGACCTTTATCTGCTCAACAAAATGCTCAATCTATTGAGCTAGTTACGCCAACTGAGGACGACGCCTCGGCACTCTGGTGGAGTATAATATTGTGAAAAATGCCATTCTCGCTTTCAAGTCCCACTCGCTGTTCCCGGTACCATGAGGCTGGGTACCAGGGCTCTTATGTCCTCGATTGATGAGCAATTAACAACTAGCACTATGATTGCCGCAACTGATCCTCAACCCACAACGCCATCAGCTTCATCTCCTTCTTCACCAACTCTGCCTTCGCCACCAACAACTGCAACATTATCTCCACCGGACGTAGTTGCCCGAGAGGAGGATGCCCCTCTTCCCCAAAGGAGGATGAGCGTCACCCTTTCAATCTCTACCGGATGCCACTTGCTATCCCGGCCGGTAGAACATGCTAACTATCTGAAGCCTTTGGCTTCAGAAAAAAGATAGGGATAAAATACAAACTCTCTCGGGAGACTGTTTGTTGAACAATGCCATGCACAACGCAATGGCGGTATAGTCTTTGTTTCCTTTGTTATTTCTTCTGTCTTTGTTATGGAAGGATTTTGAATTTGCATTTTTGTTTTGCAGGCCAACTTTTTTTGCTTCCGAGGGCTTTCAGAGGCCGCCTCGTGACAAGAAGGAACTTACCTCCGAGCGAGATCAACTTTTGGCCGAGCGAGAGCAGACTGCTGCTCACCTCTCAAAAATGGAAGCACGATCTAATGAGGCTGTTGAGTTGGAGGCTCGGTTGCAGCAAAGCAAGCAAGAAGTAGTGACCCTTATCTGGGAGGTTGCCCCGTTAAGAGCATTATTTGAAGAAACTAGGGTCAAATGGGTTAAAGTCCATAATGTCGTTCTTGCTGCATCCGATCGCGAGGCAGCCTCCGCTGAAAGACTGAATAATTTGGAAACAGCCTTAAACGACTGAAGAATTTACTGCTGCCGAGGTGAAGTATGCCCGGTTGGAAGAAAAGCATAGGAGGACAATTGAGCAAAATAAAATTTTTGGCTCCATTGTCCGTGACCTTAATGTCAGCCTCCGGTCTATTAGATTCGTGCGGGATAACCTTTCTACTGAGGTTAACCGACTTAAAGAAGAACTCTAGCACCAAGCGGCTTCCCTTGTTGTCGAAAAACATATGCTATGTATAGCACGGGGGAAAAACCTTGGAAGAGGCCAAAGCGGGTGTCATTGACTTTGA